CTAAAATTACCAACAAAAAATACATGATGAAGATTTCAAATTTTATTAAAATTGAAGCAATAAAGTGTGTTAGTGATTAGGGTTTAGGGCTAAGCCCTTTAAGGTATAACCATTAGGGTTTACGAATTCTCTATATATTCTTATCTAATTGTATTTTGAATAATCAAGAAATTTATTATCTATCATGATATTAGAGCTTTAGGTTAAAACCCTACTACTAACTGTAGGTGATTTTAGTTTGATCAACATGTTTTAGTGTGATTGTATTAATATTGAGATAGACTGAGGTATATTTGCCTCACCGAGGTTGGAGGTGAGGGGTGCATACTCGAAGTGATAACACTCGGAGTGATAAATGTGAACTCGATAATACGGGGGTCGGGGGAAGTGCCCATGGATGCAGGGTTTCAAGGGGATACACCCCATGGCGGGGGTCTAGGGCAGCGCCTCTAGTGGGGTCCAATGGGCGGAGCCCTTGGCGGTGGTCCAATAACTGATGACATCATGATTATGAAAGTGTTGGTTATGCCTAATAACTATCATGTTTTGGCGCCAATTTTGGTCTAACCGATTTTAACCACCTTTCCCTCAAGTATAAATAACATGTGGATGTTCCAGAAAAAGAGTTGAACGTTCATATACTTGAAATTATATCATAATTTCTCTATCTCTCAAGAACACATCAAGCAAGGTATTATATATTTTCAATTTGAAAGAGCATGTAATTCTGATTGGTTTTTTCTTGGATTATCCCACTTCTAAATTCGTATACCCCGGACTATAGGGATGAATTACAGATTTCGGAAAGTGTTTGGTAAACATGATCCTTGAATCTATCAAAGTTTGTATTTATTATTATTTTGATCCCTTAATTTCTATCACTAACAAAAACCCACAACTGCCTCCCTCTACCTCTAACAACCTTCTTTAGTAATCGTCAGAGGTGTCTTCATTTTTCTCAATATTTTCTCTTTCTTATTTCTCCTCCTAAATAATAATACATTCTTGGGCACCAAACCAAAGCTCCTTCCTTGGCTTCTTCTACTACATCATCTACTTTTGCATCCTCCTCAGATAACCCTTACCTCCGAGCCTTCTGTCTCCTCCTCAGATGGCCCCTCTCCTCGGCTAGCCTCTTCTTCTTCGAATTTCTTTTTTTCAAGTGAGCCTATTTTGATGCTACTGGTGCCTCCCGCCGATGACATATTCTTCGTCGGACAGCCTCTGATTTGCAATCGTCATCGCCCCCCCCCCCCTCTCTCTCTCTCTCTCCCTCTCTCTCTCTCTCTCTATATATATATATATATATATATATATATATATATATAATATATATATATATATATATATATAAACACAAAATTCATTGATCTCGTTAGAATTGGATCCGCCTGCGAGAACTCGAGCCTTTTTATTTCTTGATGTCTTTCTCCAGACTCCTCTGCCTCTGGCTTCTTAACCGTCAGCATCACTACTCCTCTCACTTTCTACAATGAAACCGCCTCTAGCCATCGTTTCTTCTCTATTATTTTCTGACGAGAAGTCATTATTCGCTACTACCGTCAGAGCTCTACCACCACTGTTGTTACTACATTCATCTTTTTTTTTCCAATTTAATCATCTCATACCGATAAAACTGCGGGGAGATGTTAATGATTAGGGATTTAAAGTTTAGGCCCAAGTACTTTAGGGTTTTTATATTCTCTATATATTCGTATGTAATTGTATTTTAAATAACTAAGCAATCTGTTATCTATAGGAGTGAGGATGATGCTAACTGTTTAGCGAAGGCAGACAACATATGTTCATATTTGGAGTGGACATGGAAATTATAACAAAAAATCGGGGTTTGTGGGTTTCTTGAATCTGTGTTCATCAATTTCTAAACTTACCCTGATCTCCTTTTTTGGGTTACTTCAATTTCATGATCTAAACCTTTCATTTTTTCCCATGTGCTCTATTTAAAACTACCGATGGTGTCTTTATGTTTTATTCAAAACAAGATGATGCGTATATGCTTTATCTAAAATTGGTTTTTGGAGAATTAATGATGGCATTATTTTTTGTTGTAAACCGGACGAACCTCTGGTTTTTATTTAAAACAATCAACTTCCCAAAAGATATCTTGAAGTATCAACTCTGTAACAGGGGTGTCTGTGTTGTGCTTACTTCTTAGGCGATTGATAGTGGATGATGGTTGTGTTTATGTTTAATTTATTGGGTTTTGAGATTTCTTGAAACCCATCAACAAAACCATTGATCAAGATATCAAAATCAAAACCCTTCAATCGGTTTTGTACCGAGGTTGGAAACAAAAAACACCTAAATTTGGAAACAAAAATCCATGTATTACATTGATTGATTATAAAAAGAAAATATTAAAATATAAACAATAAGTATTTCTTAAAATAAAATTTAAAATAAAGAATAAAAAACATATTAGTTGCAATTTTGTATCATATTTATTATATTAGATACTTTACATATATAAGTATAAATATAATATGGTTTTTTAATCTTAGAAATTAAAAAAAAAAAAAAAATCATAAATTGATATGTGCATATCATTTATTTAAAAAATATCATAAAATAATAAATGTCAAAATTAATGGATCGTATAGAGTAGATGGATATATAAGTATAAATATTATATGGTTTTTTAATCTTAGAAATTAAAATAAAAAAAAACAAAACAAAAAAAACAAAAATCATAAATTGATATGTGAATATCATTTATTTAAAAAATATCATAAAATGATAAATGTCAAAATTAATGGATCGTATAGAGTAGATGATAATAAATTCTAATCTCTACAATTATGAGATTTATAAATATCAAAATTGTAATAATAATACAATTATGAAATCAATTTAATTTTATTTAACGATGGGATTTATTTGAACAATATAAGGACTTGTTATGTTCGTGGATGCCAGCCACCTCAACAATGTTACATGTGTACCCCTTTATTTTTAAAATTTTAGTTTTTTGGTACTGTATAAAGAACTACGATAAAAACAATAAAACTTTAGGCGTCCATTGAATAATAGAAAACCAAAATCCATTGACATTAGACCAACATAATTTCCACTATGTTGAATGCATTACATATAAACAAATTTTGTTGCTAAGGCCATACATAACTTGATTGTGTTTAACTAGGTGCGGAGTTAAGTGTGTAGAAGGTAGGTTTTAGGATTTTTTTTTTTTTTTTAATTACAACAAATATATATATATATATATATATATATATATATATATATATATATATATATATATATATATAATATATATATATATATATATATGAAGGATGTATCTCATTTTTGCTAAAAGACTTATCTAATTCAGTTTTATTTACATAAGAAATCATGTGGTTTTTGGTTCTAGATTCGACACTATGTTTAACCCAGCATAATTTGCATGGAGTATGTTGAATAATAAGAAAAGAGGGAGTCGTGCAGGGTGGAAGGCGGGTTGAGAAAGGAATTGGTGGTATTGTCGGGAACACGATCCTAGCTGTCAAGATACCGCCAAAAGTGTGGGTTGAGAGGGTTAAATAGCCCGAAACTCCCAGTCTATTTCTCCCTTTTCAACTTGAACCCCGTGCTTCTATATTTGTACAATATTGTGTGGGATGAGATGATGAATTTCCATGATAAGAGGGATGGAAGTGTGAGGAAAGAGAAATCAATTTGGCATCTATGTGGAATGTGGGTTGGAGGGATGGACCCCCTCGACCCTTACTGATAAACATTTGTGGTTAATGCCATTCATAGCTTGATTGCATTTATTATGATTTTGACTTATTAAAGTATGATATGAAATCAATATGATCGAAAGCCAAATTTTAAAACATATTTCTTATTGTGTGATCGTGTTTCTGATTCCACAGGATCGTGTGAATGGAAGAAAAAAACATCCGAGCAACTCTTAAAACACACTTTCACCCGATGACCTTTAGATTGATATCATGAGAAGAACAATCAATTCGAGGATCATGGTTCAAATATGTCCCTTAAAAATATCTTTTTTTTTCTTTTTTTTTTTTTGGTGGAGAACGGGACTCGGGAGGATAACTACTGCAACCTTTACCTTTCTTTGCTATGTAAATAGAGGGTCAAGAGAAAGAAGGTCTTAGTCTTCAAGGTATCAACTTACCTTCTATAGTTTTGCAACATGTGCTTTGATGGCGAGGAGGCAATGAAACACCTTTTAGCAACATGTTTCTTATCCTTTGCACACACCGGTATTCCCCAATGACACTTTTCAAGAGTGAACAACATCCTCGATTTTGCAATAAACTGGGGGCATTGTCCGAAAAAAAAAACACAAATTGCTACTAGATATGTGCCACAGGCTATTTTGACGTATAATTATGAAGATGATGTTATTGTCATGGTGGTTGTACATGTACAGATTAAACTTAAAGGGTAAAAAGGATATTGTAATTAAACTAGTTGGTGTTGTTCTCATTGATTTTTATTGCTTATAACTCTGTGTACTTGTCTTTTTGCCCTTGTTTAGTTCCTTGCTAGCCCTGTGCCATTTTTAGTTTTATAGAGTTTTTGCCGGTTCAAAAAAAAAAAGAGCAAACTATAAAATCGAAGCACCAATTTATATGTTAAGGTTGTGTTTGGCGCGTCACAGCTAGCAGATAAGCTAGCTTATTTTTCGAGTTTTTTTATGTTATCGTGTTTGGTAAACTAAAAAGTAACTTATAAGCTAGCTTTTGGAAAAGCTACTTAGACTAGGTTTTTAGGAGTTTTTTTAAAAAAATTCAAATACATCCCTTAATTACTTATAAAAACACATACTCTTCCATATCCATTTATGTAATTTTATATATTTCAGCTAGTTTTTCAACTAGTTTTACCAAACATTTTTTTTTATCAGTTAATTTTTCAGCTATCAACTAGCTGTTTATTTAACAACTAGCTTTTCAACTATTACGCCAAACATAACCTAAATGATTAAATCAAAGTTATATTTATTTTTAGGATAATGAAAGATCACATTCATAATCATGTATATGGACGCATGTTTACCATCGCCTATAAATGTGGTAACATGTATTAAATAGATGTCCCATGTCATCTGTGGCATGCAAACTACATCTAACATCTATTTGTCTCGATGCCAACCACATCACATGATTGTATTTCTTGTTACCATTACGAAAGCCCACATTCATAGCCACATTGACAAATCATACAGAAAAAGTAAAACTTAATGCCTTTTTTCAGTTTATATTTTTTAGGACATGCATGCAAACTATGGTTTCTTTATTTTATCATAAACTTATAACATAGGTGTGGTGTTCAAACATGAATTTTATAAAGTATAGTAGGTACTTCCATGATATGGTGGTTACTTGAGGGAATTTGCAATATCGATGACAAAACGATACTTGATATCTTTGTTAATTAACCTCTCAAGAGCCTCATTCGCATACTGAATCGGGACAATCTCTATGTTGGGGTAGATCTCATGGGCTGCACAATAGTTCAACATTTCCTGAATTTGTTTGGTGCCACCTGTCACACTCCCCGAGATGCTTCTCATTCCTACCAAACACCAATTCAATTCAACGTGTTAACAACTCTTTCTACACAAGGTACAATCAACCACAGCATAAACTTTTGCTTCTCATACCTAGAATTAGGTTTATGGGTTGGAATTTAACTTCACTTGGGACCCCCACCAAGGATAATACGCCCCCACTCTTCAATAGTGCCAAGTATCGATCAAATGGGATGTCCGCAGAAGCGGTGTTGATTACAAAGTCAAGTGACTTCTCCATTGCCTGTAACCAAAGTCTCATATTTTTCTTTAATCACACTTCCTAACAAAAATACAGTCCAATGTATGTCAAACACAGTATAACATGTTCTGTATGAAATTTACCTTCATGTCCTCATCATTGCTGGAGATGATGAAGTTATCGGCTCCTAGAAGATTGAGCGCTTCATCTTTCTTTGACAAACTTGTGCTGAAAACTGTTACTTTCAACCCAAAAGACTTACCAAACTTGACAGCCATGTGTCCAAGACCACCAAGCCCGATCACTCCTAGAGACTTGCCAGGCTGGTTCATGTTATGGCGCATCATCGGGGTCCAAACCGTAATTCCAGCACACAGCAATGGAGCTGCAGAAGCTAACGGGTAGTTCTCCGGTATTCTATAGCAATATCTGTAACTCAAAGTACCATTTTGTCCCTTGATCATTCTAGAAGATGTTATATAGAATATAAATATATAGGCTACTTAACTCACCTTTGGTGAACAACATAATATGATGAATATCCTCCTTTAGTTACACTCCCATCGGTGTCAATCCCATCAAATGTGAGAACTGCTCCTTTTATGCATTGGACTTCAAGCCCTTCATCACAATACTCACACTCTCTACAGGAATTTACGTAAGTACCCACTCCCACATGATCCCCAATTTTGACACGTTCAACGTTTGACCCGACCTCTTTGACTATTCCAACGATCTCGTGACTGGAAAATAAGGAAAGATAACAACAAAAAATATTTATGAAAAAGAACAAATAAATGGTATTTTCCATTCGAGGAATGGATTCAAAATGTCGAAATGTTGTCACAGGGTACATACCCAGGTACAAGAGGATATTTGGAGTGGCCTTGTACATTCCTAGTCCATGCAACATCCGCATAACAGACTCCACAGTAAAGGATGGTTAGTGAAATATCATCAGCTCCAACAGCCCTGTTCACAGATGATTAAAACCTTCAGACATTATTTTTGTTTACAAATTTGGGAATTTGATTACTAATCGAGAAGATATAATGATACAGCAGTGGTTGAAACAAAAAGGCATAAGCCCTGATATCATTATCTATGTATTGGGGAATATGTTAGGCAGGGGCATGAATTCATGGTTCAATTGGTGGGTGATTAAGCAGTTATGTTATGTAGATATGATCAAAATTAAAATAGAGTTGAATATGAACCTGCGGTTAAATTGGTATGGTGATAAGAATCCAGATGGATCCCTTGCTGCCCACCCAATGCAATTCTCCTTGCCAGCATCACAAGTCATAGTCATAGGTGACTCAGTTGTCTGTTACAAATTGATAACAATAAGTAATTTGTACATGATCATATTCATACAGTATTATAGTAATCGTCTGTATGTAGGATTGGCTGTCAATCGATCCATTAATTTTGTAATAGATTGAGATATAAACTCTAGTTCTTTATTTACGAACAATCCCTTGTGGGAAAAATTAGGTCATTAGGTATCCTCTGGTGTTTGTCTCAATCAGATTAACAAAACCATGATCCTGCGTGGCCCAAAATTCCTGAAGGTTTTCTTGTAAAATTAATAAACCTTCAGATCCTAAACATGTATGTTGAGGAACTACGAGAGCTTGAGGAAGATTCGGTATTCAGTGTCTCTACTGATTACGAATCCATGTGGTAATCAATGAGAAAATAAAAGAAAAACATGATTCGAAACTGAAAACAGTATGTAAGCAAAATTCAAAACGAAAAAACTAGGGCTCAGAACAGATGATACATGGATTTCAGTGACTGACGAGATAAGCGATGAATGCCGCCGGCGAGCTTCAACGGCGAAGAGAGGGACACGTGGTTAAATGTGTATATATATATTATATGCCCGCCGTCATGCCTGCCGTCATCAGCAATGTTGCAACCGTCATGCGTGCCGTCATCGGCAATGCGGGAGGTCTCCACTCTCCATATCATAGAGTTATCTCATAGTTACTTGTTAGAGAGTAAGTCAACTGTCAACGTATAACATCATATAATTTAAAGAAAATCTAACTAAATTATCATCATCTATATCTTAAATAAACATTTTACTTTATTTCATCAACATTTAAATCAAAACTTGTATTATTTTATTTTCATTATTATAGCAATAATCCTATTTAAGTTAACTGGTATGATTTTTATACCAAATTTTGATGATCTAACTGTGTTATTATGACAATGCGTTCAATAATTATTATATGTACAGATTAGAACTCATTATGTGTGGAAGAACATAGCAAAAATCAGGTCTATGATGGCGAAAGTCAACACCGATCCTAAGGAGATTGTATTATGGAACTCGGATAAGAGATGTTGGGTATTTGAATTTGTGATTGATAACAGATCCTCTGTGAAATTATTCAGAGAACGGCTTGAACTTGCGGGTCATATCATGTGTGATGATCCCTTTGACTGGAACAAGATGATCCCATTCAAGATTCTCTGTTTCACATGGAGAGCGAAACATGGCAGAATCCCTTCAACAATTGAACTTCAATCTAGGGGGATTACTATCCCTTCTAGTGTGTGTGGTACATGTAAGCAAGAGGAGGAGACTAGTGATCATATATTGATCACATGTCAATCGGCGAGGACTGTAATGAATAAAATCCTTTATTGGTGTGAAATCAGGTGTCATAACTTTAATTCAGTAAGGGACATGCTACTATTTCTATCGAGATGGAGCAAATGCGAGAAGGCTGCTAAACGTAATTCTATGTGGAGTTTTGTGGTGCATATGGATCGAGAGGAACAATTGGGGTATTCAATAATATTCCTATTGATCCGGTGAACATAGTAGAAAGGGTATAATCATTATTTTTCATTTTGTTCAAACACATTAGGCCATACAAAAACATTGATCGGAGAATTTGGAACCTTTGTCCATTTCTTTGTTTCTAATTTGTACTTTCATATCCGCATCATCTTGATGTGGATTTAGTTTTAATATATTTGTCGTTTCAAAAAAAAAAAGATTAGAACTCATTAAGCCAAAAAGAAAGAAGTCTTATGTCATTACTAAAGTAATATGTGGCTTTTCTCCAACAGATCATTAAGTATTTATAAATACACAACCAACAAACACAAATTATGATAGCATTTCCTCGTGTAGGTTTTCAGATTTCTAAGTACCTATTCCTTATTAACCAAAAAGCTTTAAAAGTTTAACTTAAATATCTAATGATCATACATATGAAAATCCTTGGGGCACCACCATTAACTGATGTTACAGGCTATGGAGAAGGTAAATCATGGTGTCCCAATATCTCTTGAGGGTGTTTCCAATATCAATCACAAAATGATACTTGACACCCTTGTTAATTAACCCCTCAAGAGCCTTGTTTGCATACTGAATGGGGATAATCTCTATGTTTATGTAGATTTGAATGGTTGCACAATAATCCAACATTTCCTGTGTTTATTTTGTACCGCCTGTAATCCACCCGAATATGCTTCTTCTTACTATCAATTTAATTTCACATGTTAACCAAGGGTAGTCCTTTAAGACCATGTACAACTTTCAATGCATAAGATATAAGTCACTAAGAGTATCCACAATAATAGATTTTTTTTCATGAAAAAACATATTTTATCTCCACCACATTAGAACTTTTTAAATTTGTTTATTTATGGGATCCCTTATAAGTTGTTTATTTATATTCGGTTGAAAACCTATGAGACCTACCAAATCATCGAAAAATGTTATGGCAAGAGTGTGTTAATTAACAAGCTCTTTAAAAAAGCTTAGTATTGAAAAAGCTCCACTAAGAGCTTCATTAATTTTCATAAGCTTTTTTGGGGTGAAAAAAACAACGGAAAACCAAATGGGAATAGCATACCATGATTAAGGGCTGGTTAGGGAGGATAGCATGGTTTGATACCATGATTCGTGACAGTGGTCTCGTACCTTTTGATCTTTTGGTTATGGTTTCCCGGGCATGTGGATGCGTTTGGTAATTGTTTTGGGTCCTAGTGGCGAGATTGGTTTGGTTCGAATGGTGCAGATATAGGTGAGTATGCTGGTTTGGAGGTCTCGAGGGTTTTTCTCGAGGTCTTGCTTCGAGTCACGAGACTCAAGAATGAAGTGATGGTTATGATCGGCTTAGGAATTGCAGCTGGAAATTGAGTGGTGAATTGATGGATTGGATTGTTGCTATATGCGGCAATGATTATGCCTTTTTTAGTTTTCCGAGTTCAGAGGAGTGAAAATACTTGTGATTTTTAGAAATTGGATGTAAACCCATCATAAGGTCTGTTGGTCCCGAAGTTTAGCGATAGTATGTAAGCGTCGGGGTGCGCAGGTGGATTGATGTGTTATGCATTCTTTTGGGATTCGTTTGATCCATATCAAGAGGATAGTTTTGCATGCATTATTCATTCCAGGGTCAGGTATGGTCGTACCTGGTTGAGACGGTTGAGTTATGATCTGGTTTCAACACCAATAGGTGGTGGTTTAAGCCCTAAGTGGGGGAGAATTGGGATTCTCGGGTTGAGTATTAGTCATTGAGGGATTGGTCATTTCACTTTTTGGATTGCTGTTTTCATATTAGTTTAGTAGATGTTGATATGTGAATCATTTCCAGAGATGGGTATGTTCAATTCCGGGTGGTTTTTGGTTCTCTAGATTAAGTGTCATGCATCCTCGATCGTTGGTCTTTTCACTTATCATTCAGCGGAGGATTCCGAAAGTTCAAGTTGTGACGGTTGAATTTCAATGGATGGGTCAACCTATCATCAAGTTCAGTATGTTCTATGTTCCTTTGATCCCTGGGTATTTTTACCTTCAATGGTGGAGTGGAAACTTGGTTCATAGCATACTCAAGTTTTGGTAACTTTCAGGATCACATTGGAAGTGTTTTCGAGCTAGTTTCGTATTGGTGGAATCTATTTAGTCTCAATCAAGTATGGATTTTATTTCAACCTATCATAAGGATGTCTTCTATTATTGATTGAGGTGGTGTTTCGATTTGACCCTGATATTTCTTCCATTTTTAGATAAGGTTATGGGTTCCCTAAGGATGTGCATTGTGGTAAATTTATATAAAATATCGTGAAAGGAATGTGAGCTGGGCAAGATAGCATTGGAGCACTTGGTTCACATTATGTGCATGGTTCTGCTGGGCTATAACCTTCAAATTAGATCAAGAGTTCGACTGTTATCCTATTCTCGGGTCGTAGGGTTTTGCTTTAGTAGTAACATTGTTGTGCTCGGTTGGAGTTGTAAGAGACGTTGATTAAGTCCCTTAAAGGCAATGGAATGAGGTGAGTGTCTTTAGGTCCTGAGTGTTGGGTGAATGATGTAATGACGACAAGGTCGGTGTGATACCGAGAACATTCTAGACATAGGCTGAGAGCCGGAGAGGGCATTCCATACTCATGTTGTGGTCTCAGAGGCAATCCAGACTTATGTTGAGGACCTTGCATAGGTATTCCAGTCATAGGCTATAGGCCTAGTGAACATAGTTGTTAATTTATTCTACTTGTGGTACTTTCGGTGTTGGCACATTGATGGAAGTTGGGAGACCCAAAAAATCAGTTGGTTTGGATAAAGGGAGCGGTTTAGGATTGTTGAGAGTATCAGTCGGGTATCAGAATGTATCTGCAGAATGTATGCATTATATTTTCTGTTTGTTTGCTTATCAAGTTGGGAATCGGTTATGAAGCCGCAAATCATAAAGTTCCTCATGAATGTCTTGATTGGTTTTTCTAGGTAGGGGTACACCTAATCCGATACAGGTTGGATGCAATGTAGAAATTCTTGGATTAATCACCCTTTCTCATCACAGCAATGGTTGATAATGGCATGGCAGAGTGTCAAGGGTTATTTAAGGTTTTGGCATCATTTGGATTTAGATTGGGAGAGGTTCGTGATCGATATGTCTTAAGGATCTTTTTTGCATGTTTTGGTGGTGTCTACAGTCATGGACTGGGGGAGATTCATGGATGAACGCTCATCAGCCTTAGGGAATAATTTATGAGAAATTTTGTAAGTGGCCATTTTTGAGCTGGCTTTTGGTGGAAACTCGCGTTGGGAATCGCTAATGTCTTTGTGCTAGGCCTGTTCTTTAGTGAAATGTGGGATAAGGAATCTGTATGTCCAGGGCATCAGTTGGAGGGTTCATATGGTAGGAAAGGTTCTTGTGTCTATGCTATGGAATGGTTCTATTGGTATGAAGGTCGGGCAAGTTATGGGGCTTCAGGATTATAACAGTTGTGTATCGGCCCGACAGTTAAGGAAATTGTAATGATGTAAATTTTCAAACCAATTTTTTTTTTTGCATTTTCAAAACCCAATAAAACACATTTCACATTTCTCCAAAAACCTCAAGTATCAAATATCAGTACATTTTTCAAAAATCGTTTATCACGAATCCAAGATCCAAAATAAATATAACTCCAGCTTAGATGTGTGTGTACAATCAAGTTGGTACCTTTCCGCGATCCTCAGAAGTACCTAAAACACATAACACATAACATAGTAAGCACGAAGCTTAATGAGTTCCCCAAAATACCACATACAACACATTAACCACTTGAGGCTATATCTTTGTAAGACCCTCCGGTCTATGTGTCTCAGTGGGACCCTCCAGTTCCACGGCTCGTTGGACCCTCTGGTCCGATCTCATTGAGTACCCTCCGATCTCACAGCTCGTTGAACCATCCGGTCCGGTCTCAGTAACACATAATATAGCATACATATCACACAGACAAATGCATAACTCAAGTAAGCACATAAGACCATATTGTTGAATTAGTGTCTAAGTCCATAACTACTTTATGTACTTGACCCGATGGTGCATGGTCCTTTTGGGTTGCTTCACCAAAGCAACTTGATAGGATGAATTATGGAGAGAGAGGATTAATTATGATTTATTAATATATTATGAGAACAATATATTAAAGGAGAAATCATATTGTTTAATTAATATTAG